CCCCAGGCCAGATGGCAGAGCCAAGTCTCTGAAAAGCCAGGAGCTAGGGGGCCAATCTCACCTCCAGGGGCAAGATATTCCAAAGTGCGGGGGCTACCCTCAGAGAAGGCCCGTCTCCTGGACCCCGCTAGTCGGAGTTCTTTTGCTGAAGGGGTCCAGAGCATGCCCTCTCTGTGTGATCGGGTGGGACGGGATAAACTCGTGGGGGAGAGGTGGTCCCTCGGGTAACCTGGTCCCATGCCATGTAGGGCTTTAAAGGTTGGGATTGTATTAGAAATTTGCTCTTAACAAAAATTCTGTTTGCCCCCTTTTGTAGCTTTTGTTCTACATTCAGGACAGTGATGATGTTTATGGTGTGATACAATTCTGTCATTTGGAGAATCAGAGGATAGAAAGCAGCCCAGATGGACGCTTTTTGTTGCTTAGTTTTGTAAGGCAAAGGGGAACCGTGGGAGATGTGAGGCTCTTTTATGTCATCATGTATATTCCTTCTGGACCTGTGGATCCTGAACGAGCTAAAGAAGGTGTTTTAAACACTTCCAGAAGAAGTATCCTCTACTTTCCAGAAGGAAAATCTAATGACACCATTAAAGTACCAATAAGAAATGATGCATTTCTTCAAAATGGAGCCCATTTCTTAATACAGGTATATAAATGATATGCATAAAAATCATAAATAATTTGTGATGCATAATATTATGGCATAACTGTTCAATGAAATGTATCACCGATGCCATGATTTGTCACTCAAATAATCTCTATGTTCCTAACATCCAATCAATTACTGTTTTTTTCTAACTTATCATATGAAAAGGAAACAATGAACTGTACTTCCCAATATACTACTCTCCTGAAAATCAACTTTTATAGCACTTGTGTTTAGATAGAACTCTTCAGTTGATGCAACTGAGTCTTTTTTCCCCTACTCTAAGTGGGTATGTTGGATTTTTCTGTAGAAGGGAAAGATTATGTGTGAGAGGCAGAGCACGTAAATTTGAAGAGAAAGGGAAGGAAGTGGGGGAAGGGACTGAAAAAGTGAGGAAAAAGTTTATTTTTTAATTATTATAATTTCCCCTATAAATCTTAATTACCAGAAGGTTTTGAATCGATTATTTCCTTGATCCGTATATCTCAAGAGTTGTGATAGAGTTGTGGTCTTGTATGTATGTTAGGTCTCTCGATTGCCATGTATTGCAGCCAGACTATGATGCATAGAGAAATGGGAGGTAGAGAAAAAGTGCCAAGTTTTCAATATCAGTGAGAGAAGGCACTTCCACCCAACACCATTTCTATTTCTCAGTCTCCTCAAAGTGTGTGGAAGCCAGCTGTGGAATTGTCTTCACTCCTGCAAATTTCGGAAGGCTGAGAACAGACAGGCAACACCATAACTAATTAATGCTTCCTTTAACTGGGCAATAGTGTAAAAATTACCCTCCAGTCAGTATCCTGCCTCCTAGGCTAAAGAGGAAAAGAGAAGGAAATAAAAATAAATTGCAAGGTGTTCCTCCCCGTTCCATTTTTAGTATATGTTTTCTGCAATTAGCTGGCTGTTCTACAAAAACTCTGAGCTATTGGTATGAATTGAAATTAGCTAGCCCTCATGAGACACGTGCAATGAAAGTGTTTTAGACAAGGAAAGGAGATGAAAGTGCAAAGTCCCTCTGCCTACTGTCCCTACGTGTATTGTTTCTCCTGGTCAGTAGACATATAAGTACAGAAAGCCAGTGCATGCACACTTTAAGTCTTTTCCCAGCTTGCCCCTCTCAGGGCTAGCTAGGAGTATTATCACCTCCATAAAAATCACTCATAACATGTGGCTGGGACAGTTAGACCAATTAGAGTCCAGGCAGAAGGTGGGCCAGTATAGTGAATATAGAGGATAGCCTTGAAGGACAGAGGAAAGATCTGTTGCCAAGACAATGATCAGATAAATGAGGCTTGAGCCCAGACCAAGAAAGTCATTTATGAAAACGCCTCAGACGGCTCCCCCCTCTTATTTCACATGAAGATAAAAGAGGGAAGAATGGAAGCACATTCAGATTTACAAGATTCTGTTACTATAGCTGTTCTAATAAAAGTAGTTTTAAATCTACACAGTATCTGTTTCTTAGTCTAGTCTGCACTGACAGCTAGGGGCAAGAAGTAATGGTCAAGGGAAGGGGGGTATAATGCAATAGGTAGTTTTCACACAGTCAGTGAAAAATAACGTGATAGCAAATCATTACAAAAATAAGGGACTGATGGAAACCCTTTTTACTTCCCATGTAAAAAAAGAACAGGCAGCCCATTACATAAGGTGGGAAAGAGGTGCAGAAGGGTTTCAATGTTATTTCTCTATATAAAGCTTGCTCCTAAAACACTACAGTCCACTAGAATTCTTTCGTTAGAGCCTCCTGAGGCAGCAAGCATTGGGGTAGGTGAGAGGGAGGAAGGGCTCATTGCTAGGGGAGGAGCTCTTCCTCCAGTACAAGTGAAGGATGGAGTGGTGCTGACACTTCAGGGAACTGCCCCACTCCCCTTTCTTAGTAGCCCAGGAGCTCAAAGCAAAAGTCAGAAGAAGGAGGAGCTACCCATTCCTGACTCTTAAGTCCATAGCACATGGTAAAAGTGGTGATCCGGAGGCACTAGCAGACTACATACTTAAACCAAAATCAGCATGCTGCGAACCCAAGGGCAGCATGGTATAGGGACACTGTTTGCACCTAGAAGACCCATGTTATTCTATCTAAAATTTGCTGCAAAACACAGGCCAGCAGAAGGAAGAATATTGAACATATTTTGACCTTGGGAATGCCCAACATCTGTTTAGACATCATCCAGGTGTCCTTCCCACCTCTGGCAGCACTAAGCAGCCCTTACTGCCAACTAGTAGCAATACATCTTTCCAGCAGAGTAAGATATCTGTGCAGTGGTTTAAGTACTTGTCAAGCAGCAAGTGGGAGGGTGCCCCAAAACATCAGATGTGATGCGGGTATTATGCAGGTGGATTTGGATGACCACACATTCAGCATGGTGGAGGAGGCTGGATGCCAACACTTCCACCATCTGGTTACCCTTAATTAGCAGATCTCCTCCCACACTACTTTTAATAGGTGGGTGATGCCCTTCCTCTATCACTGATGCAGGGAGTAATTGTTGGGATTTCTACGAGCAGCAGGTCCTGATACTTATGTCCACTTTATCGCAGACATTTGGTCCGGTCAAGGTGGAGTGCATGCTTCTTGCCTCTCCCTTGCCATGGGGTAGGTTGAAAATGCAAGATCAAGAATCAGGTGGGCATTTTCTTATGCAGTGGCTCACATTGCATATGAAGTGAGCTTGCAAATTACATCCATGCTTTATGGTCCCAGGCAGTGAGTCCAACTTTTCTACTGCTGTGATTCATTGATTATGTATCATCAAGTTGTTGTCAACTCTTAGCAACCACATAGATAGGTTTTCTCTATGATGATCTATCCTTAACCTGATCCTTCAGCTCTTCCAATGGCTCCCCCATCGCCACTGTAACTGAGTCTGAATCCATTTTGTTCCTGATCATCCTCTTCTTCTCTTTCCTTCCACCTTTCCCAGCATTAGCGCCTTCTCCAGAGAGCTAGGTCTTCGCATACAGTAATGTGTCCCAAGTAGGATAATTTGAGCCTGGTTATTTGTGCCTTGAGTGAGAACTTTGGGTTGATTTGTTTGATGATCCATGTGTTTCTTTTCTTGGCTGTCCACAGTACATATTCTCAGGAGTCTTCTGCAACACCAAAGTTCAAAAGCATCAATATTCTTTCTATCCTGCTTCTTCAAAATCCATCTTTCCCTTCCATAGAGTGTCACAGGGAACACCATGATTTGCATGATTCTGATCTTTGTAGGTATAGACTCATCGCAGCATTTGGCATGATTGACACAATCAAACGCCTTTCTTTAATCAATGAAGCACATCATGACTTATTTTTAATGTTCTTTGGCTTTCTCAATTATCCAGCATGCATCTATTCATTCCTGTGCCTTATCCTAATTTCCAGGCTTGTTTCTATTTCATATTTACTTACTTATACCAGTCACTATATGGACCCATCTAGATTTTTGGGCTGGCAAAAATAGGGAAGTGATTGACTATTTCCTTCTTTTGAGATTCCCCACCCCCACCCCCAATTTTCCATTTTCTCTACAGTTACAAGATTTCCTACTGTCCTCCATTCCAGTGCTACCCAACTCTGGCACTGCTTAATTTTTTTGAGATCAAAGAATGTTGTCTGCTATCTTTAGTATTTTTTCAGATGACTTTCTATTTCTCTGTCAGTGTAACAGATTCAATATTAATTTGTGCTGCTTGTGCAAATACAGTGATCATGCTATTAAAAAAAACTTTAATTCTGACAAGGATGTGTGGAAGATTCATATAGCAAAAACTGAGGTTCCAGTCCAATGACTCATACTAATAATATAAGTAACAGCTAAAAATATGCTGTGTTGCATGTCTATTAATAACAGGAAATTTTAAAAACTTTATCTTATTTCAGCTGGAAAAAGTTGAATTACTGAATATTATTCCTCGAGTTCCATCTGTAAGTCCTCGATTAGGTGAAATTCAATATATATCCTTAAGAATTACACCTGATATAGCAAATGGAGAAATTGGCTTTATCAGCAACCTTCCAATAATTTTACCTGAGCCAGAAGATTCTCTTTTTGCAGTGGTAAGTCAATCTTTCAATACATTGTTCTTGCAAAGTAAACACTTATTAAGAGAAAATAGCATATACCCTAATTTAGGAATGTTTTGTAACACATAACTGAAATATTTCTAATGTAGTCATAGTCCTGAAATGAATGATTATTTTAGCAAGTCTGAATCATAGTTTAAACTGAAGTTGCATCATTTTTTCTTGACTATGGAAAACCTTCTCAGAGTTTAAAATTGTGACAGTTTCATAGATACAATAAAAATTAAACTTTCTCACTTCAGATAAATCAGGCACTCCTTAAGTTTTTTTGTGTTATGATTGGTTGGTGATTTGTGATGATGAAGCTGACAAGGCTTTCAAACAGCTATTATAAAATTATTAGTAACTTTTATTTTTGCATATGCACAAAAGGTTGCAGAATATTTTTTCTCTTGTCTTCAGGTTCAGAAATATGTTGGTAAAATATTAGATGGGTTATAGCTTGGAAACTCAAGTTTCATTTACATCTAAGAAGTGCAAAACTTACCAAACCTTGTATCTGTTCTAGAGCTCCATTCCTTTGCATCGAGATGGGACAGATGGACAAGCTGCTGTATTCTGGAGCCTAACACCTATAGGCCTCAATCCAAAAGCTGTGACTATTGATGATATATGGCCTTTTTCTGGCTCGGTTCTGTTTTTATCTGGACAAAGTGACACAGCAATCAACATTACTATTCAAGCTGATGACATCCCTGAAATGAATGAGATACTAACATTATCATTAGACAGGTACTCTTTGATATTTTCCTAGAAACAAATTAATGTAGTGCTTACTCTTGATGTAATAATATAAAAGACTAGTTAAACACCTATTCAAACTGTAATTCTAGGTATACTAACTTGGCAATCAGAAAACACAATGGAATGCATTTCTCAGAAAAGCTGAGGACTGAAGCCAGCAAGGAATGAATGAATGAATGAATGAATGAATGAATGATCAGAGACCAGACAGGCTATTATCAAAACACTGCGCAGATGTCCTCAGCATCAAAGGTTGAGAAACATGGCAAAATTTTGTTACTAAGTAAGGGCTGATGAAGATATTTAGGGTTTAAATAATGATGTTGATAAAGAAATATGGCTTGATTCCTAGATACTGCAATAGCTGATCTTTCTCATTGAAGCTTCTCTCACATTTCTGTAAAAGTACCTCATCTGTTTGAGACAGATTCCTGAATCTTGCTGCTAAGATTATGAATGCATGTTTGTGTTTCTAGAATAGTTTTTATCAACCTTGGTAACTTTAAGAATTCTGGGAGTTGAAGTCCATGCATCTTAAAGTTGCCAAGGTTGAAAAACACTGTTCTAGAGATAGATTTATTGCTGAGCCCTGTGTGAAGCTCCAAGCCAACCCCCCCCCCAAAAAAATCTATAACACCTTCCACTGGGGTGTGGTCCAACCGGAATTAAAAATAATAACAAATAAAAACTAAACAGCTGTTTTTAAAAAACAAAAACAATGAAATGAATATACACCTTGATATGTTTACAATCAGAATATAAATAACCCACAATTATAAAATCCTAAACCTACCTATCATTAAACTTTGCTAATAAGATTTGTAGCAAAAGAGCCTTTCTGCCACTCATCTCTGCTCACAACCACTTCAAAGAATGAGTCTGCTTTATAAAATAAAGAAGTTTTCAAATCTAGTGAAATTCATCACAAAGGAACTTAGAGATTTACATCCCTTGAGAAGAGCCTGCCAGGTATCTTTCCATCCTTCTGTTCTCAAACACAGGAGAACATTTACTAAAATAAAGCTTGATGTGCTCCCTTCTGCTGTTCTCAAGGCAGATGCTGAAACATTGCTTATAAAGAATGCCTCTGTCCTTGTGGGTGGGGAAAGATAGAAAACTCTACCAATGTTTTACAGCAGTGCATATTCTACAGAGAGTAGGCATTAAGTACATTGCTTTTTTTTGGGGGGGGGGGCACAATCCAGGCCAATCAGGACAGCAATGCCTCTCAGGCAAAAATGATTTCATGGCACAGTGTTGCAAAATTCTGTGCCAAAGCATGTTGAGTGCAACATGAATTAACATCTAGGTCACCTTTGTGAACTAGCCGCTTGACTTTTAGCTGATCAGAATTTAATTCTTATCTTGTACAGGTAGAATTTGTGGCAGCGTCCTTTAATAAGTGATTTGCTGTTTTTACATTACTGCTGAGTAAACTTAAGTGTTTATCTGATTGGTCTTTGATTGCAGCAAAAATTCTTATTTTACTTTAGAATTAAACTGTTCCTATATAGTTTAACAATTTATAGACATATAAATTATTAATTTATTATTACTTAACCACTTACATTATTATATTTTATGAACTATAATTTTATCATTTAGTTAGCCTAGTAGTAACACTACAGTTTTACTTGTATCTCAGTAGTTTTACACCATTTTATGCTGGTCTTTGAATCTTTGAAATAAAGATTGTTGCTGTCTTCTGTTACTTTATGTCTAATTTGTTTATAAGTGACCATCACAAAACATCTGATCTGAACTTGTTTAATTGAAATGGCAACAAAACAGAGTTTTAGTCAGATGTCCTTCTCAGTCATGCCTGATTCTGGAATACTCTGGAGAATAATCTAAATGCATAGTTATATGCTATAATACTAAAAATGAACTGTGCTGCAGTCTAATATCAGCAGAATAAAGATAAATATCAGGTTACTAACAGTGTAGCAGAAATTAAATTGATAGGCACTGTTAACTAAAGATATGTATCATTGAGCTTTTAACTTTAGTAAATGTCAGCTTCGTATAGTATAGCGTAAATTAATTTCGTGAGAGATAAGTAGGATGTAAATGTACATATTACTTTGCTTTTAGCTAGAGTCTAGTTCTCCAAGACCTTATTTGTTGTATGCAACTGTCCCATTTATCTTTGTTTTCTTCCTTCTGTACTGTAAGTTTGTAATGATTATGTCATCTTTATAGATGGTACATACCATATTTTTATGATTAAATGGTTAGATATTAATAGTAATTCTAAAATGCTTGCTCATGTTTTTTCCCCCTCACTCTCAGGGTGTGTCCTTAGGTGGTAGATTTTCTGTGCTTTCTCAACTGTTGTATTTGTAAAGATTCTCCTAATGTAGTGGGAGCTCATGGTTGCAGGAAAGAATGGTAACCTATGTTTACATACACAACAAAATACAGAAATGCAGACAGCAATTTATAATTAATCAAAGGAACTGTTGTCTTAAAATATTAGGTATAGGATTAGAGGTTCTACTTCATTTCAGATTTTATTTTCTGAACAAATCCGTCTTTGTTCAGTTCTAACTTTTTGTTTTTAGATGAAGCTCTTATGAGCTTAGAAAATGTTTTCCTCATTTATAACATTCTTATCATTAGTTTATTAAAACACGCACACATGCACCCATCAGTAAAACTTTAGACAAAGGCAACCCCTGTCCTTCATTAATTTACACAATGATTTGGACTGTTTAGTAGATTGACAGGTGCTGGAGGCAATACAATTACACACAAAATGGACTTTTTTAGTCTGATGCAAAGCACTGAGTACTTACAAATAGTTCTGAATAAAAATGTACTCAACCGCTGGGCTTCTGTGCCTGAACACTGTACTGTGGCAGCCAGTAACTAACTCTTTGAGCAATGCAGTAATGAAGGGCTTAAAGAGTCCTTGACATCCCAATTGGTCATGGGGTCATCTGAATTACAAGTACGAATTCCTGAACCTCTTGCTAGCATTGCTCGAACAAGAATTCCCATAAAATAAACAGTAGGTCTCCGAAAAATGCTGTATTATGATCTTTCATTGGATTTCCACCATCTAAAGAACTCCCATACAAAGCATTTGGCCAACAGTGGTTTTATTTCTGTTCCCCGTTTCTTTCTCTCTGTATTGACAGGGTAGAGACAGAAAGGTTTGTCGTGTACTTCGGGTAAGTGCCGCAAGCTGTGTCTTTGTTTTCAGTGGACTAGCACTTTTGTTTTGCAAGTGGTTGGTCTGGACAGGAGTCTCCTTTCGTTTTTCTTTCTGCCTTGCAAACCTTCTCAGGGAAAGCATGCTGTTATTGCGCTTGGGAACATGTCATGGTGGATTGAAAACATTTTGTGGGGAGGGGGTCTAACAACAACAACAACAATAATGGTTATGAATGCATGGCTTGATGTTTGATGTTTTAGGATAGTCCAGAACAGTAGATGGCTTGAAAAACCTGCATCCCAAATCTCTTTTCACTGAGCTGTAGAAACAGAGTTAGGAAAAAGGGCTATTTACAGAAATCTTTAATCAAATTATACATTTTCATTGCAGCACTTAAATAATGTACAGCACAATTCAACGAATGCTGTTTATTTAAAAGTAAAATGGCTGCATTCAGTATGACTCGTCCTTAGGCAAAAGGGTATAGGTTGCAAACTTACTGAAGGAACCTGCATACATTAGTACAACAGGTTTTTAAAATAGACTACTGTTACATGTAGGTTGTAGTTTTTATACATTCAGGCATATAATTAGGAGCCTGAAGCAATACTTAACAAGATTTAAATTGAACCCTTATACACAAAAGTCTGGCGGTGAAACAATTGAACTCAGTTTTGTTTGCCAGGCAGATTTACTGAACTGGTAGCAGTCAGTGATTAAATAAATTCTTCTCTCTCTTCAGGGGTGTCCACAGATTAAGAAAAAGTCAAGTTGGCAACTGTAATGGTGTGACTGAAGATCCGCCTATTTTTATGTGTGTTGCACACCTGGATACCCCTGTTTTGCTGTGTAATGTGCACGTGTTCTGTTTTCTAAAATCTAAACAATCTGTTACCGGAGGGTTGGATAAACTATAGGATACTGAGAAATATTTTATTTGATCACTTTCAGTATTAGGAGGCTGTTTTCTGACAAACAAATTACATTTTCAGTGTAAAAGAGATTTTATTTTGTTTTATTTTTTGCTTAGGCAGTTTGCATAGCTTTGGTGGAGGAACAATTTTGTCTACTTCCTGAATGAAGCCAGTACAGGACAAACCTTGTTTTTGTGAGGGTGAGGGGAGGGCAGAAGATCACAGTTGGAAGTGGTGAGGTATAGAGCCGCAATGCTTTATAGTTACAGTAACCATACATCCTTTATTATAAAGGATAGCCTTTCATTTTAGAAAGCTGTCCTTTAGATTTATTTATTTTTCAAAAACTAACTTTTGTCCTTTATTTTGGTCATTTAACTTTTACTGTACAAAAGGTACCAATTAATGCACAGTCTTTCACATTCATGTGAAAAATATGGAAATTGAATTGTCTTTTTAAAATAAATTTACATATACTGTTTGAGTTTAGATATTTTTATTAGAATACATGTTTTTGTAAAGCTTTTCTTGGTTTTGCTCATGAATTTTCCTTCGTAAAGCAATTAATGCACAGTCTTTCACATTCATGTGAAAAATATGGAAATTGAATTGTCTTTTTAAAATAAATTTACATATACTGTTTGAGTTTAGATATTTTTATTAGAATACATGTTTTTGTAAAGCTTTTCTTGGTTTTGCTCATGAATTTTCCTTCGTAAAGCAAAGTCATAAACATTTTTTTTTTTTTTATCCTTATGAACCTCTTTCAGGTTTTCTCCTGTTTCAGGTTTGTTCTTTATTTTTTCCAAGAAAATATGGTCACCATATTTTACCATAGGCTTTGGTCCATTTAACTGCAAACAATCAAAATGCTTTCAATTCTTTTCTTCAGTGTGAATGCGGAAAATCAAATCCTGAAATCTGGATATACCAGTCGCAAATTGATCATTCCAGAAAATGATGATCCTGGAGGAGTGTTCGAGTTTGCTTCATCTTCCAGAGGCCCCTACAGGATAAAGGTTCAGATATGAATTTCTTCTGTAATAGAGTCACATCCTAGATTAATACTAAGCTTTTGCATTTCAATTTTATATATATATTCATATTCTCCAGGAAGGGGAATCTGTTGAACTCCAGATTGTCCGGTCCAGAGGAGCACTTATGAAGCAATTTCTACGTTACACTATAGAGCCAAGAGACAGCAATGAATTTTATGGAAATACAGGAATCCTGGAGTTTAAACCTGGGGAAAGAGAAATTAAAATTACTTTGCTGACAAGAATGGATGAGATTCCAGAGGTAAAAAGAGAAGGGGAAAATTTTTCATGTCTCTTTTACACTAATGTAAACATAGTGATGGACCCTGTTGGGTTTCAGAGGGGGCTTGGGGTTGTTCCTGAGGCTCTGATCCATGGTTTGGTTGACGCCTTCACTGCTGGTCTCGGATTGTGCCTTTGTGGCCTCTCTGGGTCCATAAATCCCAGAAAATTTCCTGGTCCTCTGAGGAGGTCTGGAAGTTAAAATGGCAGAAGAGAGACCTGGAATGCCACTGGAGGAAAATGAGCATGGGTAAAAATCTTTCTTACCTCATGGCAATAAAAGCAGGAAAATGTAAGTATTCTACTGCTTCTTACCATATTCTCAGATAGCCATCTAGCTGCCTTATTCAGAGTAACCCAGTCTCTTCTGAGGAAGGAGGGACCACAGGAATAACTTCAGGGCCACTGTGAAAATTATTCTAGGCACCTGTTGGGTAAATTCACTCTGAGTTAGATTCTAGATATGCAGGTCCCTTGGAGATGACTAGGACATGGTCTAGCAGAGTTACCTGAGAAGAGTTTGAACCTGTTGGACTTAAGGAATTGGAAATGCTATACAGGTAGTCCTCACTTAGCAACCATAAATGAGACCAGCACCTCCATCACTAAGCATTGCAGTTGCTAAGTGAAACATCACGTGACTGATGGGTTTACAATCTCACTTCCCCTTCAGTCATTAAGTAAGTCACCACAGTTGTTAAGTGAAACATCATGTGACTGTGATTTACAATTTTACTTCCACCTTTTCTATTAACTCTGCTTGTCATAAGCCATTTGCGAAACATACTAATGGCAATCATGACTGCGGCACACTGTGACGGTCGTGAATGCATGCCGGTTGTGAAGCCTGAATGATGATCACATAACTGTGGGACATTGTAATGGCTGTAAATGTCAGGATTGGTCGCAAAGGTTTTTTTTTTACACCAGTGTAACTTTGGTTCTTAAACGAGGCAGTCAGTGAGTGAGGACTACCTGTAAGTGCGACTACCTGTCTATTTTTGTCCAGTCTCTAACCTTCCCTTTTTAGGAAGGGTTATTGAGAAGGTCTGCTTACACTACACAGGGCCCTGGATGAAATGGATTGTACTGACCTCTTTCATTTGGGTTTCAGAGTCAGATAGCAGTGCTGAGATTGCATTGATCGTACTTACAGATGACCTGTAGTGGGACTGGGATGGAGGTAGTACACCTATCCTAGCTTTACTTGATCTCTCAGTAGCTTTTGATATCATTGATCATGATATCCTTCTGAATTGGCTTCAGAGTTTAGGCATGGCAAGTACAGTGTTAACTCTTGGTACTCTCCCTTCTTCCTGGGCCATTTTTAGTTGGTGTTGGTGGAAGAAAGAAGTCTAGTCCTGGATTCCTGCATTACAGGGCCCCTCAGGACTCAACTCTCCCTTCGTTCTACATGAAACTGCTGGACGATGTCTTGTGTTTGTACAGAGTCAGTGATGACACCCTATATATCAGCACCCTAGGCCAATCAAGTTTTGCTGTCAAGTTTCTTTCTCAGTTTCTGGAAGTTATAACTTAACTATGGGGTTAAGTAGGAACTTTAGATCCCCACATCTGAGATTTCTACTTAAAAGTATTTTCTATTACTGAAGTGTAATGTTTACCAATTTTAAAATGTAGTGCGTTTTGAAGTATGTTCACCTTTGTTCAGTTAGGCATCCTTCAGTTAAATGTGCACAGACATGCAGCCAGAATATACTGTAAGAATTCATTATTGGTTTATAAAAGTATCTTCTATGAAAGTATAAGTACAGTATAGAATTTTATTTTGGCAGCATTCTGTGGGGGAATTTAAATCAGCATTCTCAATTGAATGAAGTGTCCATTGAAACAGAAAGTCCATTAAATCCAAATGAAACTTTACACAGGTGTAAAATGGCAATTGGATTTTATGCATCTGTATTTTATGCATATTATGCAGTATAATATGAGTAAAATGGTGAACAGGATTTTATGCATGCGTAGAAGCATATGGGGTATAGACAGATTTTGTCCATTATATTGAAAATCCAAGGTCCTTTAAATCAAAGTTTTTTGTATTAGATGTATAAAAAACCTATTTTTATACATCTAATCTAGATAATCCTATTATCTAGATTAGATGTATAAAAATAGGGGGGGGGGTTCTTC